TACAATACATGACAATCGTATAATAGAATTAAATCATGAAATTGAAGAAAATTCTTCAGATATAACATTAGCACACCAACAAGTTTTCAACATTTCTGGCACAATACATGATAATCGAGTTATAGAATTGAATGAAGAAATAATTGGGGAAAGTTCTGTAAATATTATACCAATACGTCAGCAACGTCATGTAGAATATCAATCCCATTATCGGTCTCAAAGAAGACATATTAATCGAATGCTAATTAATGATATAAATGAATATTATATTGGTTCTATGGATGTGCCTTGTGTTCATTGTAGAGCAAAACATTTCGCAGCTGAAAAAGTATCTAATAAAGGAAATTCATTTCACGATTGTTGTAATCACAGTGCGGTGTATTTAGAACCATTGCCTCAATTTCCACAATTTCTTCGTAGTTTATTTAATGGTAGCCATGCAAAATCAAATAATTTTTTCAAACATATCCGTAGCTACAACAGTTCATTTTCATTCGCATCATTTAACGCTAATTTGGTTAATTTTGAAAATAGAAGACCTGGTCCATATTGCTTCAAAATACATGGGCAGATTTATTATCAAATTAATACAGCATTGTATGCAGCTCAAAATGAAAACCCCACTTTCGGCCAGCTTTTTATTGTAGATTCTAATGAAGCAATAAATTATCGTCTCAATGAAAATTCAGATTTAGATTTTGAAATTATACAAAATCTTGAACATATAATGCGGGAATTAAATATATTTGCTCAATCTTATCAAATGATGGGTGAAGAATTAGAAAATCAACGACGATTAGAAATAGAATCTGGAGAATTATTGCCAGAATTACAATTATTATTTACATTAAGACCAGGTATGGATCGACGCCGATATAATGCTCAAAGAACTAATGAAGTTGCTGCTGTTTTTCGTACAACTGCTGATGGAGAAATTCCAGAATCATATGTAACAATACGTAATAGAAATGACAAAACTTTAAAAAACGTTAGTACTATGGATCCAAATGTTGAACCATGGATATATCCATTATTTTATCCATATGGTACTCAAGGATGGCATTGTAATTTAACAAAATTAAATAGTAATAAACGAATAACTAGAAGCCAGTATATTAAATATCGCATGGCTATTCGTGATGAATTTAATGTCTTTTTATTAGGGCGTCGTCTATTTCAACAGTGGCTTGTAGACAGTTATGTAAAAATTGAAAAGGATAGAATAAATTATTGTAGAGATCATCAAAAAGAATTACGTACTGAAACATATCAAGGTTTAAAAGATTATTTACAAACTACAGCTAATAATTTAAATGGACGTATTGGAAAGATGATTATACTTCCATCTACATTTATTGGATCACCACGTAATATGTTACAAAATTATCAAGATTCAATGGCAATAGTTAGTAAATTTGGTAAACCAGATCTTTTCATTACAATGACTTGCAATCCGAAATGGCGTGAAATTGAAGAAAATCTTTTACCTGGTCAACAAGCTTCTGATAGACCTGATATTTGTGCTCGTGTTTTTAATATTAAAAAAGATTATTTAATTGATCTGATTGTTAAACAAAAATTTTTTGGAGAAGTAGCAGCCTTTGTATATGTTATTGAATTTCAAAAACGTGGTTTGCCACATGTCCACATGTTAATTACTTTAAAATACAATTCCAAAATAACAACTCCACAGATTGTTGACAAATATATTTCTGCTGAAATTCCTGATCCATGTGAAAATCGTACTTTACATGACATAGTTATGAGACATATGATTCATGGGCCTTGTGGCAATTGGTGTTTGGTAGATGGAAAATGTTCAAAACATTATCCTAAATCTTATCTTGAAGAGACCAGAATGGATGAAGATGCTTATCCTTATTATCGTCGACGAGATAATGGCAGAAGTTTTGAACGCCCTGGTGGATATATAGTTGATAATCGTAATGTAGTTCCATATTGTCCTATTTTATCGATTGTTTTTAATTGTCATATTAATGTTGAGGTAGTTTCAAATATCAAATCGGTTAAATATCTGTATAAGTATATTTATAAAAGACATGATGTTGCTGCTATAACAATTGAACCAATAACAGAAAATATAATTATTGATCATGATGAGATACGTAATTTTATAGACACACGCTATGTTGGACCTGTAGAAGCCAGTTGGCGCATTCTTGAGAAAAAATTACAAGATAAAAGTCATACTATAGTACGTTTACCTGTCCATCTTCCTAATGAACAAAATATTACAATTGAAAATGGATCCGATGAAAATACAATAACTTCCGCTTTAGATCAAGTTACTATGTTAATAGATTATTTTGCGTTAAATTCTCGCGATGAAGAAGCAAAACAACATTTATATATAGAAATTCCACGTTATTATACGTTTAAAAAAGAAAAAAAAACTTGCACATTGCTTCCTCATAGTTATTAAGTGTGCAAGTTGATGAAGCATTATTTTTTTCAATGTATAATTTTCAGTATTTATTTGTGTTGGCTTCCTCATAGAGGAAGCTTTGTGTGCGAAGGTTTCTACTTAAACACTTAAAAACTCTAATCAAGCAATGTGCAAGTTTCTACTCGCACACCTAACTCTTTAAAAACTTAACCTCTTTAAAAATTTCAACCAGGTATCTAAAAAATTGTAGAAGTAGATGCGTGTACAAAAAATCCGTACACACACACACACACACACACACATACATACATACTTCCGGACATTTTTTACTAATACGATTTTTCGAGATAAAACCGAAGCTATCAAATATGAACATTTTAACTCGATTTCAATTATTATATAAATTAGAAACTGTATGTATAATTCTCCGAAATTTCAAATGTGTGTAACACGAGATCTAATCAATCAAATTTTAATGAATTATATATGAAATAGGGGTAGAAAAAACTCAAAAATATAATAGAGTTAAAAATAGATCGCTATCTCAAATATTGAGAAAGATGCAGCGTAAAACACATTTTTCAAAAAAATGAAAATCTGCATAAAATCTATACCGTTTTATGGATTTTAATAAAATTTGAGGAGGACATACTTTCTATGATACTCTATTTGTGTGCCAAATTTCAACCCGGTATCTAAAAAATTGTAGAAGTAGATGCGTGTACAAAAAATCCGTACACACACACACACACACACACATACATACATACTTCCGGACATTTTTTACTAATACGATTTTTCGACATTTTAGAACATTCTAAACCTATTTCCATCAAAATCTCGAAAAAAAATTTTTTCACCATCACAAAGCTTCCTCTATGAGGAAGCAATTAATGGTAGAAATGTATCGCGTTGGAGCAAACGCAAAAGTCATTTTAATTGTATAGGACGAATGTATTCCGTTAGTCCAACACAAACTGAATTATACTATTTACGACTATTATTACTCACTGTAAAGGGAGCTACAAGTTTTGATAATTTAAGAACTGTAAATGGAGAAGTTTGTCAATCGTTTTCAGAGGCATGTTTGACTTTAGGTTTAATTGAAGATGATGATGAATGGAAACGAGCTATGAATGAAGCTATTGGATGGATGATGCCGAGACAACTTCGTAGATTATTTGTACGTATATTATTGCATTGTCAACCATTGCATCCTGAAGAGCTCTGGGGATGTTTTAAAGTAGCAATGTCAGAAGATTTTATCCGACACTTTGGAATGTTACAAGGACAAGAGAAAGCATATGCGCAAATCAATACTATGCTTTGTGCTGAAGGTAAAAGTCTTGCCGATTTTCCACAAATGGAACAGTTAATAGAAAATGATGAAGAGGATAATTATATGACTATTGAAGAAGTTATGGAAATTGGTATCAGACAATATGAACAGTTAAATGACAAGCAGAAAGAAATAGTAGATATAATATTAAATAGATTAGATAATAATAATCATCACAATAGTAATTGTTTTTATATCGATGGTCCAGGTGGTTCAGGTAAAACATTTACATATACAACTATTTATCACTTAGCTAAAATTCGTTATAAACATGTATGTACAATGGCTTTTACGGGTATTGCAGCGACGTTATTGCCAGCAGGAAAAACGGTTCATAAGACATTTGGATTGCCGGTTCCACTATTTGCTGATTCCTCTTCCAGCATTAAAATCCAATCAAAAGAAGCTCAATATTTGAAAAAAACAGATATTTTTATTTGGGATGAAGCGCCAATGGCACCGCGATATGCTCTAGAGATTATGGATCGAACGTTGCGTGATATTATGAATAACGACTTACCTTTTGGTGGAAAAATTATCGTATTAGGTGGTGATTTCAGGCAACTTCTTCCTATTAAGATACACGGTACTCGATGTGAAATTGTGAATCTTTCAATCAAGTTTAGTTCTACTTGGAAACATTTTATAAGTTTTTCTCTAACGGAAAATATGCGAGTTCTTCCAGAGGAAACTGAATTTGCAAAATTTTTATTGAATATGGGAGATGGCATATTAAATGATGCTAACGATAATATACAACTTCCAGATTGTTGTATTGCACCCATTAATGCCGATATTATAGAAGATATATATGGTGATCTAATACGAAATAAAGAATTTAATAATATGGCTAAGTGTGCGATACTTTCTGCAAGAAATGCTGATGTAGATGAAATTAATAAACGAGTTGTCGAATTATTAGATATATCTGAAGAACGAATTTATACAAGTACAGATAGTACTGAAAATTGCGATGACAACGGTGACATTGGTGAAGTTTTATTGCCAGAATATTTAAATACTTTGTCTCCGTCAACTCTTCCTCCTTACGAATTGCGTTTAAAACCGAATTGTGTCATTATGTTGATTAGAAATCTTAGTATTAATGAAGGTCTTTGCAACGGCACTAGATTAATGATTATAGAACTTGCGGATCATTTATTGAAATGCGAAATTTTAACAGGTGATAAAGTAGGAGATATCGTTTTCTTAAATCGTATTACTTTGTATTGCGAAAATGTATATCCTTTCACTTTTAAAAGAAGACAGTTTCCGATAAAATTAGCTTTTGCTATGACAATTAACAAGTCACAGGGTCAGACATTTGACAGAGTAGGAATAGATCTTCGCAAAGACGTTTTTAATCATGGGCAACTTTATGTTGCCCTTGCACGAGTTAGATCTTGGGAAGCATTAAAAATTTATCTTGGCAATCAGCGGAATAATAAACAAGTTAAAAACTATGTATATAAAGAAATATATGTATGATTTCTCTTCTTTTAAATTTTAATATAAGGATAGTTTTTTGACATATCTAATTATATGTGTGCGTATATTATTAAAAATGTACAGTGTTAAAGAATAAATGGCGCTTGATATATATTGATATATATAAATAAATAAATAAAAAAAAAATATATATATATATATATATATATATATATATATATATTATAAAGAAGCTAAATGGCGCGCGCGCAGCGCGCGCTTGTGATGTTCTAGTTTTTTGATTAAAAAATCGGCATATGCGAAATTCTGCGGGAACAATAAATTATTGAAAGTTAGCGATAATCTAAAACTTAAGAGAATAAATAATTCAGCGGTTACTGTACAAGGGAAGATTCTAGATCAAATATGTATTGAAAAAATAAAGGAGCATTGGTTCAATGCAACCTTGCTAGTGGTAGACGATAACACCATTGTTTAAGATTTGCTGTTGATCAGAGAATTCTTCCGTGACTCTGAAATTAAACTAACGTACCAGCGCGGCAAATATTAGTTAGAATATTTACCTTCAAGAGATACCAAGTTAGCTAGCATACTTCCAATATATGCGGTAGAGACTAAAGGTAAATTCGACCTTGTTATTGAGAACTTTGATCCTCAGTTGCCGACAAGTCACCAAAACATGTTGATAAGTTTGTTAGAAGAAGTAGAGAATATGAAAGTGGAAAGGGTCAAAGATGATTATTCGGTTAGAGTTTACTTAAAGAATACATCTTTGTTTAGATACTCACCTCGTAGAATGTCTTTCGCGGAAAGAAAAGTTCTACGAGAAATTACCG